TTAACAGGAATACCAGTGGCAGTGGTGGTGACCTTTTTTATTTTCCATAATTAGAAAATTAACTGGAATTTGATGCGATCAAAAGTGAACAATAACAAAAACAACAAGAAACAAGCAATGTATTTTTAATAAAAGCTTGTACCTCTCAGAAGAAAGATTTATTTTGCAGGATGGGTATGATTCCATTGGAAGCTATTTTAACTGTAGGCGTTAAGGATTTAAATGAGCGGGAAGATTAATGTTTTAGACCCTGGTGGAAGATTTTGATAGTGATGAGATGTTTTAGAGTAAATAGACCCTTCCTATGAATCTTCCATAGACAAAAGATCTTTAGGCACTTTGTAAATATCGAACCCTTAATGATCCTCTTTGGACAATAGAAAACCTCTAAGTCCTCTATAGACAATAAAAGACCTCCAAGATACCATTAAGGCTCATATATTCAATAGAAGACTTCGAGGTCTTTAGTATTCTATAAAAGACCTCGTGTTCTTCTATAGAAATAATCAATCAGCATTTTGGGTATTCCGTTTTCTTAAAACGAGTAAATTTTCCATATATTTTCAATATTTTCTATTTTGAAGATTTTAGTCGCATTTTCTTACGAAAATTATTTTTATTTGACATTCCGGATTCCTGATGAAAACACTTCGTTACTACAGCCCTCATAAACAACTAACAGACAATTTACAATGACATATGAAAGTCCCTACCGATTTAAAATAATTTTGAAAAAGTTCAAACTGGCCGAACCTAACGAGGATGTTAATTATTAAAATCTATAAAATATTGGCCATAGAAATCATTAGATCTTCTATATGCAATATAGATTCCACAGATAATATGATAACTATTCTCGGTCCTTTATAGATAACTAGCATATGCCCGCTACTTCGATATCGAATGTGAAAATTATTTAAAAACCAATGCCGACCTTAATTAAAACTTTAGTACCATTTAGTATCTATGTTCTCTTATAGTACGTTTTTCCAAAACTACCTCCATATCTCAATACTATTCAACAATTCTGACCGCAACAGGAATGTAGCTCTATACTAAATATTGTATTTCCCTTTGTACTCCTGTAATACTTATTTCCAAATAAAAATGACCAACTTTCAAATATACTCGTAGCTTCACCCAAACCAAATTTTGTACCATTTAGTACACATAAATATAAATTTCCATAACTACCTACCTTAACAATCATAAGTACGGAATTCAGAAACTTACCATGTTCCCCAATCTTAATGCCAAATTTCAGGATTGCAGATCTATCGGTTCACCTAAATTCAAATTGTATCAAATTTAGTACCATTTAGTACACAATAGTGAACATTTCCTAAGCTTCATACATACTCCAATAATTTAGGATCCTAACTCTTTCGGTTGAGCCAAAATTCAAATTGTACCAAATTTGGTACACATAAGTACGAATTTACAAAAATACACGTACACCACAATTCTACACTTCATGAGTAATCTTAATGCCAAATTTCAGGATTGCAGATCTATCGGTTCACCTAAATTCAAATTGTATAAAATTTAGTACCATTTAGTACACAATAGTAGACATTTCCTAAGCTTCCTACATACTCCAATAATTTAGGATCCTAACTCTTTCGGTTGACCCAAAATTCAAATTGTACCAAATTTGCTACACAGAAGTACGAATTTCCAAAACTACACGTACACCACAATTCTACACTTCTAGAGTAATCTCAATTCCAAATTTCAGCATTCCAGCTCTGTGGGTTCACGTAAATACAAATTGTATCAAATTTAGTACCATTTAGTACAAGTACAAATTTCCAAAACTGCACCCACACCCCAATCCTACACTTCAACAGTAATTTTAATTCCATATTCCTGTATTCCAGCACTATCAGTTCACCCAAAGTCAAATTGTACCAAATATAGTACCATTTAGTACACTTCTTACTCATAAGTGCAGATATCAAAATCTACCTATATATCCTGAATTTAATTTTAATATCCTGAATTCCAACCCCGTACAGTTGCCTCCAAATCAAATTTGTACCAAATATAGTACCATATAGTATTTTTGGTATGCATGATTACACGCTTCCACAACCACCTTCCTATTGCGACCCTACTTTTCAACCTTGATTTGGATTTCAAATCCCAAGTTCTTTAGCTTTATCCGTTTGAAATTGTTCTAATTTAGTATATTTAAGTAATTTTCGGTTACTTATGGTTCGAATTCCAAAAAAAACCTTTTATACATATATTCGACACTCCATCAGTGACCCTCATTCCAAGAACCAGAGTTCTACCTCTACCGGTTCGCCAAATACTATTGGTACCACATTTAGTACTTTTCGTTCCGATCTTGTACGAATTCCCAAAAACACAGCATTATGTGACAGATTTGGAATAAGGGTAACCCTCATTCGTTAAGTCAGTCAGTCAATCAATTACTCTTTTATTTATATACCTAGACAGTTTATTGTTTCCAAGATCTATAGGTTCTACGAAGCGATTGGAGAGAGGAATGACATAAGCTAGCTTATTAACTATAAAAGACCTCACACATCTTTCCAATGTCCGATATGCATTTTTCAATATGCCGACAATAAAAAAAACATAATTCGTCATCCTTTGTCCCGCTTCTTTATATATGTATACAATTTTTTAAAGTTCCGATGTATGCGACATCATTCGTATACACAATAAAACTGACTCTTACGTGATTCATGCCATTGCTAGATAAACGTAACGTAATTAGCAGAACCATATACCTTTTAATTTATCCACTAGTTCTGCTATTGATCGCTAGGTGGATCTTCTATGCATTCATAATCGTCTATAGATGTCACACTTGAAATTAACAGGGTGATAAAATATTTGTATACCCTCATCCTAATGAGGGTAACCACATATGAACACAACATTTTATAAAATAAGTTTCAGATATATATGGGAGGTACATCCGTTTGTGTAAGTGGCTGGTGTGTATGATAAAAGAAGGCCTTCGGTTCTTCCAGAAAAAGGAGTTCATAGTATTTAGAAAAAGAAGGAAACACGTCGTTCTTCAAGATAATTTTAAGCTATTTTTTAGGCCCTCTCCTGAAGACCTACAGTAATAAGAAGGCCATTATCTCGTCTTTTAAATATTGGCCTAATTTTTAGGGTAGCCTTCATGTATTTTGGGAAGTTTGGGTACGTTTTGCAACCATAGTGGCTTCAATTTAGTATTTTCAATTGTCATTGTATAGCAAATATATCTACCAAAAATTATAAATATTAGTCCATTTTTTTTAAGTAGCTCCCATAAAACGGTACCTACCTAATTTCGGGATTCTGACGTTGTTTGGCCTTTGAGGGGTTTTAGAGCACTTTATAAACTAATATGGGTCTACTCTTTAGAGTTGTTATGAAAATGTTGGGTATTTTTAGAAGTTTTGGCAGGAAATTTACCATACCATAAATTATAATTATTGGTCCACTTTTTATTGTAGCCCACATATTTCCAAATTCAATCTTTTTAATAACCCGTTATTATTAATTTCAAATTTTAAAATCCCTTTATTTTATGCAAAGTAATTTTTAGTTTGCCTTACCCTTTGTCTAAAGTAATTTTGGCATCACTTGTGACACCACAATATTGGCAGCACTTTCACAAGTCAGTAATTCGAAAGTCGACTTAGTCATCCCTATTGAAGAATATCAAGAAAGTAGAAACAGAGAAAACTTTGTGAAAATTAGTCAAAAGAATTAAACTAAAAAAATTAATTATTAATATCGAAACGACTAGATCTAATTATTTACTAACGAAAAAACAGCCAACAATTAAGGATAACGCAAAGAGAATAAGAAATCGAACACAAAGCAAAGAGTTTAAAACTCAATTTTTTAACAAAAAAATGTCTCGTGAAATAGATCAACACTAAAACAAAAAAAAGTGAAACGACAAGAAAAATAAAAAAAAACACACAAAACAAGAACGTCAATTTGACTTGGCTAGCTGGCTGCTGGCGACGACGACAACGAAACAGAGAGAGAGAGGAATAACCGAAAAAACAAAAAGTGTAAAGTTCGCACAACAGTGTCTGTCGGTCGTCGAGGCACAAGGTGTTTTTGGCGTACCTACTACGTTCCGTATTTTTGTATAAATTTTCCTATTGTTTTTCGTTTTTTATTTGGTCAAACCAACGGCGACGACGAATGACTTTCCTTTTCGACGAGGGAAGGCCTTTAACCTTTGTTAGCATTTGCCATTTGGTGTTATAATAATAGAACAATTCCTTAGGAATTGGTATTCTGCTGCTGCTGTTACGGATATATTGCCAAATCTTCTACTTCTGCCGCTGTTTGGGAATCGGGAAGTGCAAAGCACTCACTCTCACTCAACATTATCATTTCCACAACAACTTCGACCAAAGACAACATACCCTCCAACCAACCAATCAATCAATCTACTGAAGAAGAATAATAAGAACAAGCATTCCACATTTTTAGACTGCACTGAGAATTCCGACACTGTCTACAACCAACTAATTTTTCGTATTGTTTTTTTTAATAAATTAAATACTACTACTATTACTACAAAGACCAAGACGACGACTACTCATCGCTGCACTACTAGTGGGGGAAAGACCTTGAGAGAGCTGGCTTTTTTTGGTTGCAAATAATCGCTAAAACGCTCTGATTGCCGTGTTTTGTGCCGTTCATTTATGATTTTGCAAAATCACCATCACCGACCAACCAACAACTAACCAAGCAAACAGCCTGCCTAAGCAAGATAGCCGACGACAACGACAAAGCACATTGGAATTGTGTTTTGAAATTCATTACATATAAGTGGCTACGATTGTTGCTATTTTATTGCACATCCACATCTAGAAGTTGTTGCTGTTTTTCTAAATCAACAATCAGCTGGAAATTATTACTGAAGTGCTGGTGACCGGAAGAAAAATTTGCCTTCAATTCACATTAGAGAAAACAATAACAACAACAGAATATTAAAAAAGAAAACATCCGAAATAAATATCACCAGCCGCTACAATGTCAATACGAACCAAAGTTCTTGGCATGGTGGATGTCATGATGCGTGTTCCACCTATTTTAATTATAGATGAAATTCTCAAAATAGATATGGGATTACCCAGTAGTAGTGGTAGTAGTAGCAGCAGTAGTAGTAGTACTAATGCCGGAGGTGGTGGCGGTGGACCCCTTGATGGAGGTGGTGGGGTCATAGAGGCAACATTAAATGCCCTTGATAATAGTACAGCCGGTGTGGCGGCATCTGTTGCCGCTACGGTGACAACTGCTGCCACAACAACAGCCGCCACTGCCACTACGACCAACAGTGGTGGTTTTTTAAGTCAAATATTTGGTGCCCTAGTCGATGATTTTGCAAGTGATACATATATAACGGACCTGCTTGGATTAACATCAGTGAGATTTCTCATATGTCTACTGGGTGAGTTGTACTCCTTTTTGTTGTTGTATTAATTAATTTTATCCATGGAATTCATGCAGGTATCACACAATGTTGTAGTGCAAATTTTTAAAGTTGATATGCTCCACTAAGAACCCTTGGACCCATATTGAATATTGTCATTATGGGTCCCAGTTTTTTATAAAAATAGCCTATACTATGTGTCTCCACCTTAGAGCCTATTTAAAATGGCGTGAGAAACATAGAATGACTTCAAGAATGAAATGTCTGGTTTAAAATATGATGTGTTGACAACATCGTTCTGTATAGGAGAAACATAATCCAAATTATGCCTATTAAATATTTAGGTGCTTACAATAATTTGTCCTAAACTCTAATCAAGTCGAAGTCCAATCATATGGGATGAACCTGCATATAGGCTGGTTACCGATCCATGTTATTCCCTATGGTAATCTAGTCGTATATCCTCATTATTTAAATTACGATTTTGTAGGGGTGTTTGTATTAAAATATATATATTCTTCTAATCAGTCTTAGTTGTATTAATCAACCTTAAAACTAAGGGGAAAACACGATGGTGGATCTTTAAAGATACATGACAAGGGAAGTGTGGGGCACCCCAAGGAAAAAGTGTACATTGTTGTAATCAGGCACTAGGTTTGTGTTGTCCACATTTCTAAATTGACGAATGAGTCTTCCCAATAGTTGGAAAACATCCTCGTAGAATATTTGTATTCTTTGTTTACCCTGCATAATAGTATAGAGAATAATTAGTATTGGATATTATTTCAGCCATCATGGTTACCTGTCAGAAAGCATCTACATCATTTGTAAAGAAATATATTCTACTGATCAAGTCGAAAAGTGATCTCAATTCGTACTGATGATAAAATGCCTGTTTCACCTATCAATGAGTAGAAGACGCGTTCTGCTCCGTGTATCACATTAGGATAACGCGTAACCTTGTAGAGGTGCAATGCAATCAGTGCCTAGGTTGCTGTCACCTAAGTCATTACTCTGGCTTATTCAGTTATCGTAACTGGACAAACTCCTTTGTGGCAAGCTGTTGTAGTTCCCCACCCACTGCAAGTTCACAATCAACATCACGTGATAACGCTGTAACATTCCGCTCCATCTGTAATTGGTCAGTTTGCAGGAATGTCATTAGAGAGAAATCTACGCTGTCAGTGATATTGGTCGGTAGACTTTGTGGCGGACTGATGTTTAAATACTACCATCCACGCGAACCATGAGATCAGGTATTCACTTCTAGCCCAAGGCCAATGTGGGCTAAGTATCGCCGAAGAAAAAGACAATTCGCAGCCATAAACGAAAACTTCATACTTAGAATAACGGTCCACTGTAGCAGTCCCACAGACATTACGATCATCAGCTCGTCGCTCATCGCCTTAACATATTGGCAAACTCATGTGGCCCTAGACTCCGATCACATTCCAATCGTGATCACGTTGGAGAAATCCAGTCGATAAGTTTGCAAGTTAGCTGGCTTGTTACAGAACGGTTGTTCCATAAGCCGAGCTTAAAAAAGATTTCCAAACGCGTCGGTCTTGTGCGAATCTCCTCCAAATTGAAAGACTACGTTCCAAGATGTTGTCCTCTACTTGGTCTTTCCATCTAATTTGTGACCTTCCCCTTCTGCGTGAACCATCAGTAGGCTCGCTTTTATATGCCTTTTGAGCTGGGGCATTCTCATTCGCACTACGGTGGCCTAGCCACCGTAGTCGCTGCAGCTCAATACCACTAACTATGTCGATGTCCGCGTATAAATTATAAAATTCGTGGTTCATTCGACGCCGATATTCACCGTCGACGCAGATCGGCCCATAGATCATTCGGATAATTTTTCTCTCAAACATCCCAAGAGCTTCAGATCCATATAACAGCACGGGTAGTATCATCGACTTGTAGAGTGTGAGTTTGGCCTGGCGGGAGGTGGCATTGTTCTTAAACTGCTTACTTAGACCATAGTAACATATTTTGGCCAACACTATCCTTCTCCCAATTCCAAAACGGATGTCATTAGTTTTATTTATGGCGGTATATAAAGTCTTTAACTACCTCGAAGCTGTAGTTCTCAAGTTCCACAGTTGGTACGCGTCCACTGGACGTCTTGTGCGTTGATACCATTAGCTTTGTCTTCTCACCATCTACTGCCATATCCACATTGACAGAGTCCTTTTCAATTTGTTCAAAGGTGGCTGCTACCATTCGCAATGTTCGACCTATTACATAGATGTCATCGGCGTTGGCGAGTAACATGTGTTGCTTGGTGTACAGAGTGTCATTTCTCTTTTGCAAAATGCTCCTTCCTTCTTCATCTGTACAGGAGGATGTGCTTGCACCAAAGCCAGTTCAAATTAAATTCCGATATATTTGATTCATATTTTAGGGTACCTACAATTCGAACACTCCCAAATTCGAACACAATATTCTGACTCATTTCATTATTGGCTAATTATTCTGCTGCTCTTTCTGTTTTTATTTATTTAAACATAATCCAAAACAGAATGAAAAGTTAAAAGACAGAAAGAAAGCACAAATTTGCTTTGTGTGTTTCTAAAAAAGGGGCACGTAACATCGGACCACCAACCTGTTAAATGACTAAACGGGAATGCAATAAAACAAAAAAATATATATAAACAAATCATGTGCCCGCCAGCATCATACAATTGTTTTCACAAAATGCAAAGCAATATTTAATAATAAACACAAATAATTTTCAATCCCAACAAAATAGAAAATATTGAAGTGAATATAGAATAAAGACGACTATGGTTCCAATTTTCCAGTTCTATTTTGAAAATATTTGATATTTATTTTGGGATTTCCCCTCTTTTTTTCTAGCTCGTAAATATCAACATCATTTTGTAATCTATTTACCCGCATTCGTTATCATATATAATATAACTATATTGCTGCCATGTGAATAGAAGGACACAGACATATGTATGTAACGAATGAGGAAAAGCTCAAAGTTCATGCGAATGATGAAATGTGATGACAAACTAAAATTTGTTGCAATTTGTTTTTCAATGATTGTATTGGTCACCAATTTTGCAGGTAGATATTTTTAAGAATATGAATAACGCTTTTTAATTTGGATCAAGTTTCAAGCTGATCTGAATAATATTCCTATTGATAAAGTTTTTGTTGTCACAGGTTATCTTTAATCAAAGTACTTTCCTGAAAATATTGATATTAAAACTATTGATACAAGAAAAGACAGAAAATTCTATGAGCTTATATATGAATGGAAGTGGGTATAAAATGTGTCCTCTTCGATATGGTCGATCATTCCATGCAGATATCCGACATCACTAATTCCACCTTTCTGTATGATGTCAAGCGTATGCTTGATAATTGCGTTAATGGTCGGAATGCCTTGCTTATGTTCTGTACCAAATTTGTTCAATGTGTATCTGGCGAAAATCCCCATTTCTCCAACAGATGTTTCCATTTCTTCAGGTCCAAATATTGTCATCGTAAGCGCAACAACATAAGGCGATATTTGCAATAGAGGTGTCAGAATTTCTCCGTATACGTTCGTCTAATTCAATGTCTAATTTTTGTTTTTTTTTTTGAGTTGGTCTATATATATCGATTAACCTATTATGTGTAAATTTGTATAGCTTTCTGCGTACAAATTACTATTGATATTTCGCTATATAGTATATATTGAAAATCAAATTAATCTCAAATGCCCTTTACCCAGATTTCATCTGAAAACTTTTATTTATTTTACATATAATATTTGCGTAAACAAAATATAATCTTTGAGTATACCGACCAACCGACCGATGTGGTTTTCTTATGTTTATTTGTTTTCTATTAACTGAACAATTTACACCACATTTAGCAATGTTTTATAAAACATAATTATCTAATTTGTTGTGTTTTTTGTTTACAAACTACTATTTCTATACGCTGATACGCATTTTTGTTGTTGTTATTGTTAATTTATATTTTGTGGCTTTGAATTCATTGGTCTCTTTATCTGCGTTATACGTTTTCTTTTTTCCTGAAGTTTTTGGTGGTTTACTTAAAACAGATTTCATATTTTAAGGAGCTAGATGGAAATTTAAGTAGCTTAAGGCTTGTTGTAATTATGCAGTTAGAAATTGTTCGTGAAATTTTATAGGGGAATAGAGGAGCAATTTTTAATATGCGATCTTGTAGTCGCTCTTTGTATTAATACTAGTAACTAAATGTGGTTAATAATTACAGTGGAACATTAGATCGATATTTCCAAAATATATAAGATTCGAAAATAAGATATATTTCCTTGATTTTTTCCCCTCAGCCTTATGGCTAATGAGGGTATATACACTTTGATTCAATGAAAATTTGGAGTCGATTTACAAATGTCCGTCTGTCTGGCCGGCTTGTGCGGACGATAACTATCGAAGGGAATAATCGATTTCATCCAAACTTTGCAAATCTTATTATTTTTTCCGGTCCACTCCTTCTGGTACCTCCCACACAAAATTATCGAAATTGTGCAAAAAATAAATTTTATAATATCAGGCGAACGGACTATCCTATTTCAACCAAACTTTGTACAACCTCTTACCTTAACCAAGCCTAGATCAAGATCAAGTAGGATGATGGGACCCATTACTCCACTCCTTCTGGTATCTCCCCCACAAAAAGACAAAATTGTCAATATTTATAAGTAAAAATTGAGGCGAATGGAATGTTCGATTTGAACCAAACCTTGCAAAACCTATTATCTTTACCAAGCCTAGATCAAGTTCGAAGATGGTTCAAAATTTTCAATATTTATAAATCTAATATTAGGCGATGGATGTAGGTTTAGATTAGGTAGAATATTCCGTATTAAGTAGGGGATATGCGTTTCTGATATATGGCTTTCTTACTGATATATGGCATGTTGTGTTTGTTCTATATGTGAAGGAATTTCGGTATTTTAGTCAGAAATTTCCTACTATTTGAGTCAGAAAAATCCTACCAGCAAATGTTCACATTTTCCGATTTTCTACAAGGTTTCTCAAAAGATAAGTATATTCGTATTCGTTTTTAAGGATCCTAGCCTCGTTTTAAAAAATTTGAATTTTAGGATATCAGTGAAAAACATCTCCTGGCAGACAATTTTCTATGCAGGTCTTTGTATTGGTACAATCAGATATGAGGGCCACGCCTAACCTAAGTTTCTGCAAGTTAATATTTCAGTTTCTCGAAGAATAAAAAAATCTGAGGTATGATTTTAGTATCGGTTCATGTCTTGACAAATCAATAATTTTTTAACGAATGTTCTTGTATTTTGGAATTTTAGATTCTCAGAGAGCGAGAAATTTTTCATTTTTCTTATAGGTTTCTCAGAGAATTCTGGCAGAAAACTCATTGTTCATTCGGCTTCGATATTCACCGTCGACGCAGATCGGTTCATAGATCTTCCGGAAAATTTTGCTTTCATTCACTCCCATATCTGCCTCGTCTGCTTGCGCAAGTACCCATATCCTTACACTAGCTCGGTTAATATCATCGTCTTGTAGAGGGGGAGTTTAGTCTGGCGTGATTTTACCTTATTTTTGAATTGCTCAGACCATAGTAGCATCTGTTGGTCAACACTATTCTTCTCCGAATTTCAAAGCTGATGTTATTACAAAACTAATAACATTGCGGTAGCAAGGTATATAAAGTCATTCTCTACCTCGGAACTATAGTTTTCATGTTCCACAGTTGTAGAGGGTGAGTTTAGTCTGGCGTGATTTTACCTTATTTTTGAATTGCTCAGACCATAGTAGCATCTGTTGACCAACACTATTCTTCTCCTAATTTCAAAGCTGATGTTATTACAAAAATTAATAACATTGCGGTAGCAAGGTATATAAAGTCATTCTCTACCTCGGAACTATACAGTGGTGGTCACAGAATTAAAACATTTACTGTGGTAAACATTTTTTGATCAGCCCTCGATTCGTTTGAAGTATTTTTGATTTTTTTTTTAATTCAGAACACTTCGATATACTACACTCAAGAAATTTAGTGTGAAAATGGAAAATTATTTCATGCAATTTTTCCATAAATAACGGTTTTTACGAAAATACATCGACTTTGAAGTGGCCATATAATTAAAACATTGTGTGATTTTTTACATGACTGCATTTTTTGAAAATATTTTTTAAAAAACCTCTTTAATTTAGTTAAATTATGTAAACTAAGCACCGATAAAATCATTTACTGATAAATTTTTTTGAAAAAATCTGTAAAATCTATCAAAAATGCCAAAAATGTGTTCAGTACACTTTCATTCACAAAATAACCCTTATTATAGAAAATAAAGGTCCGAATGCACCAGAAATTGCTAGAATTAGTAGAAAACAATAAATAATTCTCAAAATAAATAAATATTTGAAATAAAAACTCAAAAAATTGGAATTAACCTAAAAGAACGATTCAATTTCGATAGCCTTTATTGAAGAAAGCCGGAATATTTTTGCAGTATGTGAGGAAATATCGATTGATATTGGCATTTATTATATCAAATCGATTGTTCGAGTAGTACAGAATATATTTTATCAAAAAATATAGCAGTCACAACAGAAAGAACAGAGATCAACGCCTATGTTGACGAGTAAAAGTTTCTGCCACACAGCAGCATTTTTGATGCTCAACTCAAGACTTTAAATATTTGTCAAATTGTAAAATTTTTCTTTCTTTTAGGCTAAAATAGATTAAATGGGCGTTATTTTATTCAAAAAATATTATTTTGGAAAAATATTGTCATGTTCAGTAGATTTTAAGGGTCAAGAGTTAACCATCAAACATGCTGCTGTGTACCAGAAACGTTTTCTCGTCAACATAGGTGTTGATCTCTGTTCGTTCTGTTGTGACTGATAATTTTTTTGATGAAATATATTCTGTACTACTCGAACAATCGATTTGATATAATAAATGCCAATATCAATCGATATTTCCTCAAATACTGCAAAAATATTCCGGCCTTCTTCAATAAAGGCTATCGAAATTGAATCGTTTTTTTAGGTTAATTCCAATTTTTTGAGTTTTTATTTCAAATATTTATTTATTTTGAGAATTATTGATTGTTTTCTACTAATTCTAGCAATTTCTGGTGCATTCGGACCTTTATTTTCTATAATAAGGGTTATTTTCTGAATGTAAGGTGTACTGAACACATTTTTGGCACTTTTAATAGATTTTACAGATTTTTTCAAAAAAAAAATTATCAGTAAATGATTTTATCGGTGCTTATGCCATGTACAGACGAGCGTTGTTCGCTCTCTCATTCGTTGTTCGACCCTTAATTATGAAGTAATTACTTAGTTCCCCATACAAAATTGTCTGAGCGAACACCGACTTTTGTACGTTGTTCAATTCGAATCACTCTCTGAATAACCAATAAATTTGTCCCATCCCTAACAATTGAGAGTATTTATCGAAAATAAATTAATTTTGACAGTTTGAAAATATTTATGAAAGTTTCAAACTTTTTCAGTAAAATTGAAAATCATGAATGAAAAGTAAAAAATTGTATAGTTTTTATATATGCAGCAGGATGTAAATTTTGTTTTCTACATAATGCAATATGCATTTCTTTTCCCTTGGTTCTAATTAGCGTACAAAACAAGAAACAAATGTGGGGCAACTCAAACAAAAAATTCTCCAAAATGTTATTTGTGACAGTATGTGACATTTGAATTGAGAAAATATAAAAATGTATTAAAAACAACAACATTTTCAGAAAAAATGGAAAACATGAATGAAAAGTAAATAGATATGGGTTCATACTATAGTCAGGAGAAAGAGAATTATTTTTTCTATTTAGATCCCTATGTAATTCACTAAAATATGTTACATATTTGGTGTAAAACAAGAAACAAAAAGTTTGAAATAAAAAACTCTGATGATATGAATTATGAATAGTGTTGTATGAACGGGTTAATTCATGTACGTAATTCTGAGAGCGAACTACGTTGTTCGGATGCCCGTCAGAACATGGCATTAGTTTACATAATTTAACTAAATTAAAGAGCTTTTTTTTTAAATATTTTCAAAAAAATGCAGTGAAGTAAAAAATCACACAATGTTTTAATTATATGGCCACTTCAAAGTCGATGCATTTTCATAAAAACCGTTATTTATGGAAACATTGCATGAAATAATTTTCCATTTTCACACTAAATCTCTTGAGTGCAGTATATCGAAGTGTTTTGAATTAAAAAAATTTCAAAAATACGTCAAACGAATCGAGGGCTGACCAAAAAATGTTTACCACAGTAAATGTTTTAATTCTGTGACCACCACTGTAGTTTTCAAGTTCCACAGTTGGTTCGAATCTGCAGGACGTCTTGCACGTTGTTATCATCAGCTTGGTCTTCTCGCCATTTACTGCCAGTCCCACTTTGGCAGACTCCTTCTCAATTCGTTCAAAGGTGGCTGTTACCGCTCGCAATGTTCGATCCATTATGTCGATATCGATTGACATATGCTGTTTGGTGTACAAGTGCCATTTCTGTTCACATTTCCATCTCGTATGACCTTTTCCAGCAGGATGTTAAAAAGGTCACACGACAAATTGTCTGCTTGTCTGAATCCTCGTTCGGTATCGAAGGGCTCCGAGAGGTCCTGTTAATGCCACTTAAACATATCCTGCATAGCCGTATTGATTTTACAGGAATCCCGAACGCAAATATGATTTTAAACACATCTGAGCGGATTGATCTGTCAAATGCAGCTTTATTGTCGACTGGATCTTTTCCAGGATTTGGCGCAGTGTGAAAATCTGGTCTATAGTGGATTTACCATGTCATTGACCATTGGCTTCAGTCGTTTAGACAGCACGCTGGTTAGCACTTTATAGACGATGGGAAGGAGTTGGCCTTGTCTCTTTTTTTTGCGCATGGGGCACAGGATTCTGAGGTTCCGATGTATTCCTCTAGCCAAATTGTACTAATCAATTTGTAGGTATTCAAATGGTAGGGTGCTTGAGTCCTGATCCTAAAACCTAGTATTTAACTTTTTTGATCTTATGTAAATAGAAGCGCGGACTTTGGATTCTTTTATTGATTTTATTCCCTTCTTTTATTGTTTTTATTCCCTATTTATATTTAATATTGGTCATCATTATTTTTTAGTAGTTCAGTATTATTTATTTTTTTTAATTCCATTTTAAACTAATTTTCTTAATTTCCTTTCTTACAGGTCTGGTCTGTGCTATTTGTGTGGTTATGCTTTGGACAAGGCATTTGGTAATGGTGTATATGTTTGTGATATCACTGGGTCTGACGTTTCTCTCACATTGGTCAAATGTAACGGCGCTGGCGATAATCGAAAAATCGCCATGCATACTGGAGGATGTTCTATCAATGAATACAACACGTTTAATGGATACGGGTAGTGTTGTTGTAGCCGTGGCACCCCATGTTGTTGCTCAATGGTTTATGGGAATGCTATTTGCCTATATACATTTGGGTCCACGCTATAAACTTGTGCAAAAATCAATGCCATTGATATTTGCCAGTCCCATTATTTTAGCCACACTACCACTGAAACCAAGAATAATAAAATTTCTACCCCTATTGGCTGATACTGTACCATTGATGTTAACCAAAATCACTCTGCTAACTAGTGCCATGGATGCCGGTAAGACGGTCTACAATGGCTATCAATATGCCATGAATTTTGTAAGTAATTTTGGTTTGTCGGCATTAATTGAGAACGAATGGCAGCGGCTAAATGTGCCAAGTGTTTTAAGAGTTTTCTGGACCATAAGGTATGTTTGGTTGATGCTTCATCTTCCATGTGGGATATTTGCAATTAATATTCGCTTTTCTTTGCTATCTTTCTTTAAAGGATGACCCATGAATTCGTTTCAATGATGCTGCGCAATGAAGTCAACTCGGCCAATCTCTTACCCACCATACAAACCCTACTCGTCGATGGCTGTGGAACATTAACTGCTGTTCTGGGCATGACATCTGTTATATCGGTAATATGCCACTATATAGGCAAAGCTTTCCAATGGTATCTCCTGACATTCGACAATGAAGAGGAAAAATCTTTGGGTACTGTATCGGCGGTTTTGTTCTATATATTGGCGCTACAAACTGGCCTAACATCATTGGCACCCGATAAGCGTTTTGTGCGTCTATGCCGCAATTTAAGTCTATTGATTACGGCATTGTTGCACTTTATCCATAACATTGTCTCACCCATACTGATGTCGTTGAGTGCTGCACGCAATCCATCACGTAAACGTCATTTCCGTGCCTTAACCGTTTGCGCTTTCCTAGTCATTGCACCAATATGTTTACTCGTTGCCCTATGGAGACGTCATTCTCCATCCACTTGGCTGTTGGCTGTGACCGCATTTTCTGTGGAGGTTGTTGTGAAGGTAAGATGGACAAAATATCAGAGGCGTGGATTATTTAATAATTGGATTTTTTAAATATTTCAAGATTTAATTTCTTCAAAATTTTTCAAAAGTTATCTTAGTCGTAGATTTTTTAAAGAATATTTTTCCAAGATTTAATTTTTTCAAAATTTTTAAAAATATTGTTTTCAAGAGTTATCTTAGTCGTAGATTTTTTAAAGAATATTTTTCCATGATTTAATTTTGTCATAATTTTGAAAATAGTTCTTTTTCAAATTTGTTCGAGGACAATCGAAGCGTAGATTTTTCAAAGTATTTTTTTTTAGGATAATGAATATTTTTTTGGAGGACAATCCAGGCGTAGATTTCTTAAAGAATATTTTTTCGAGGGCAATCGAGGCGTAGATTTGTTAAAGCGTTGTATTAAATATTTCAACTTAAATTATAAACATCCTTAAATATATTTTTAAATATCCTTACTATATTTATTCTTAATACTATATTGTTAATTTCTTTCCTTCAGGTTCTTGTTTCCTTGGCTACCTATACATTGTTCCTTTTGGATGCATGCCGTTCATCGTTCTGGGAGAAATTAGATGACTACTTGTATTATGTACGCGCCTTTGGTAATTCCGTTGAATTTTGTTTTGGCATTTTGCTATTCTTTAATGGTGCCTGGATATTGGTTTTCGAGTCGGGTAAGTCTGATATTTTTTTATTCTGTATCATTTGTGCTTTTTGTTTTCATTGCTTTATAAGTTTGGGTGGTGTGTGTTTTTGCGTAGTCTTCTTCTTTTTTAGTTTTTATTTATATACAAACTTTTTGGTTATTTTTTTCTTTTTTGAAATTTTCATGTCATCGCAAATTTCTTGTATATTCAATATAATTCGAGATCAAAATATAAAACACACAATAATTGAATTGATTGAAATAATTATCATTATTAGGATAATGGTAAACAGAAAAATTGAAGATCGAAATAAAAAAAAAAATATTTAAATTTCATGTTTGTTTGTTAATTGGAAAGTAAAATTCTCCCCATTTACTATTTCATGTGAGAGAAAGAGATAGTTATGCATTTCATTTTAATCCTGCCATGAATTGGACGGACTGGAGATTTCGAAGTTGCAGTTCGGCAATTTTTCAAAAAGCTATCAAGTCGTTGATTGTTTAAAGAAAGACCAACAGGGCGTAGATTTTTTAAAGAATATTTTTTCCAAGGACCAACAAGGCGTAGGTTTTTTAAAGAATATTTTTTCCAAGGACCAACAAGGCGTAGATTTTTTAAAGAATATTTTTTCCAAGGACCAACAAGGCGTAGATTTTTTAAAGAATATTTCTTCCAAGGACCAACAAGGCGTAGATTTTTTAAAGAATATTTTTTCCAAGGACCAACAAGGCGTAGATTTTTTAAAGAATATTTTTTCCAAAGACCAACAAGGCGTAGATTTTTTCCAAGGATCAACAAGGCGTAGATTTTTTAAAGAATATTTTTTCCAAGGACCAACAAGGCGTAGTTTAATAAATATTTTTTCCAAGGACTAACAAGGCATAGTTTAATAATTTTTTTTTTCAAGGACTAACAAGGCATAGTTTAATAAATATTTTTTTCTAAGGACTAACAAGCCGTAGTTAAAAAAAATATTTTTAAGAGACTATCAAGGCGGGTTTTTAAACAAAATTTTTCAAAGACTATCAAGGCGGAGTTTTTAAACAAAATTTTTCAAAGACTATCAAGGCGGAGTTTTTAAACAACATTTTTTAAAGAACTTTCAAGGCATAGATTTTTCCAAAGACTATCAAGGCGGAGTCTTTAAAAAAATATTTTTCAAAGACTATCAAGGCGTGGTTTTAAACAAGACTATCAAGGCGTGGTTTTAAACAAGACTATCAAGGCGGAGTTTTTAAACAACATTTTTTAAGGGACTTTTTCCAAAGACTATCAAATGACTATCAAAAGCTCATGCATTTATGTTGTGTAGATATCCAGGTTGTTGTTTTTGGTACTCAGCTTTTATACATTTGAGCTAAGAATATTGCCGAAAAAATTATTCCATGTTATCGAGCTTTGTGGGTTATTTCATTATTATTGCTTCCAAATGGAAAAAAAAATGAAACCATATCCATAACATCATCCACATTACCTAAACATTGTCATTCATTTGTCAAAAAAAAAAGGAATTCATCTATTGCAATGTCCCAATTCCTACCCCCCCAAACAAACATCAACAACAACAATCAAACAAAATTTATCAAAAAATACAAAAAATTGCGTGTGCATGTAAATTTTTTTTATTTGTTTGATTTGTGTACCGTATAATATAACTTGATAGCACAAAATGCTACAGGCGGCGCCATCCGTGCAATTATGATGTGCATACATGCTTACTTCAACATTTGGTGTGAGGCCCGGGCCGGTTGGTCGGTGTTTATGAAGAGACGTTCGGCTGTACATAAAATATCCACACTACCAGAGGCAACACCCGCCCAGTTGCAGGCTTTCGATGATGTTTGTGCTATATGTTATCAGGTATGATTTGGCAATGCATTTGATTAAACAATTAATAACAAATTGTAAATTTTTTATTTAGGAAATGCATTCGGCGAAAATCACCCGTTGTCGTCACTATTTCCATGGTGTATGCCTTCGCAAATGGTTGTATGTTCAGGATAGATGTCCATTGTGTCATGAAATCATGATGTACACGGATAGAACCGATGATGCTGACAATAATGTGCCACACCAACAGGATATGGATGCTCCGTTAGTTAATCGCAATAGAGAGGTGAGTGTGATAGACATGTTTTCCAATCAAGATAATGAGGTGGAGTATGGATTCAAATACAAAAACAAGGGACTATACTTACCCAACATGAACCCTAAATACCAAATTAAATATCCGTTGTTTGGAAAGTGCAGTTAGATCCTCCCAAATAACTTAAGTAGGGCGTCAACATCATATGGGTCTTCCGTCAACAGAATACCAAACGAATCTTTAGAAGAACAAAGCCCAAAGAAGACCACCTACAGTTACCTAAATGGTCATACATAGCAGGCCAAATCCTCTCCAAAACCCCAAATGGGTCTTCAATCTCTATACAACTAATTTTTTTTTACTCTCTTTTTTTTACTTACTTACTTACTTTTTTAAATTACTCTCTTTCATTTTGCAGGATGTGGCTATAGAAAATGCTCGTAGCCGTTCGACAACAACTGATGCTGATAACAATACATCATCATCTTCAACGTCGACGACATCAACATCTGCCAGCCTCTTGGCTAGTGCTAGTGGTGTGGCTAGCGTAAGCTCTGGCCTCGTTAGCAGTAATTTTAGTACGGGCAGTGGTGGCGGAAGTTCTGCATCATCGTCACAGATGAATACCACCGCACCGACAACATCGAGAACAGCAGCTGTTGCTGCCACCGCCACAGCGGCAGCGAGTAATTCAACGCATAGTTTTCGGTTTCAACCCGATTTGGATGTACAGGATTAACTATAATTATAATTTAATGTAACTATAAAATAAAAAAACCCAAAAAACACAATAAAAATAAAATATTATATATACTATAACTACTACTTTAGGTGTACTTATGTATAAATGAAATTTGCAGAAACCACATACACAACAACATACATATGTTTATTATAGAAATTTAATTAATTAATTTAAGTGAAAAACACACACATTTCTGGGCGACAATATATTTTTATTATGATTTTTTTCTTTTTTCATCGAAATAAGTCGTTTTTTTGTTTGTTTATATAAATACTATGCATAGATATGTGTTGAGTTTTTTTTTTTTAAGAAAATAATATTTTGTTTTAGAAAAAAAATGAAGGGAAAAAGCATTGCTTAATTGTTTTTTTTATAAAATAAAAATTATATACACATAAATAATTATTTAAAATTGAGATGATTTTAATGTCCTTCACTAAAATGGGAAAGATGATTATTCGATTTGATAGGACTTTTAAAAGGATGTGCTATTCTAAAGACCACGTAAAGACCATTTTAAACATCAATTTGGTTTCCAGTAAATAGAAGGTCCATTCATGCTAATTTCCATGCTAATTTATTTTTCTATAGATTAAACCCATTCGATCTTCTATAGATAGTAGACCGAGGGAAGAAGAATATTCGATTTGATAGGTCTTTTAAAGGGATGTGCTATTCTAAATACATAGAAGGCCCAGTTGGTATTTTATAGATATAAGACCAGCCTTTTGTTGATGGAAGGCCCTTTTGATATGCTGGTATTTTATTGATTTAAGGGCCTTCAGTTGGTATTTCTGTGTGTGTTTTTGGATCGAAGACCCCTTTGACCTTCTGTACGTAGAATACCCATTACGTTTTCTGTAGACCCCTATGGGGTATTCTATCAAATGAAGAACCCTCCAGTCATCTGTAGATAGTAGACCCTTTTGATTTTCTGTTTGGTTTTATATTTATAGAAGACCCATTTGGTCGTTTGTAGATATTTTGGGACCGTTTGGTTTTCCATATTTTGAAGGTATACTTCATATTTTAAAATTGACTGATCAATTTGGTATTCTATGGTAAAAGCTGTAGGTAGTTAAGAATTCCTTTGGTTTTGTATATATAGAAGATGATTCCTTGGTCAACTGGAACTTACGCTTATGTTATTGTAGAAAATTAGTTAATTTTTCCACTCATGGGTCTTGCCAATTGGAGGAGGCATTTGTTAGTTAAGGGACCACTACGATAAATCGAGTATGGAATTGCGATTTGAAAGATCGATTATTATTCCCAAAAATTGTATACTTTTGAGTATTCTCGCTATTGATTTACACTGCAAAATCACTTCCCGAACTTCTCTTAATTTTTCCCCATTCAATTGAAATTTAGAAAAAATGTAGAAATCGTTTTTAATTCTGGTACTCATTCCCCATAATCGGCGCCTTAAAAATATATAAATACTTCTACTTGTCACAAATCATTCGTGTAATGTTCTTTCTCAACACCCAAGTTATAAACACAAATTTTAATTACTTAAAAAACGGCAGCAAATTAAGAAAAAAATATGTTATCCCCTATACCAATTAATACAGTAAGGAAAAATATTAATAATGATATACATATATTGTGAAGTCTGATACGATGAAATCTTAAGCAGAATAAAAAGCATAATAAATTATAGCAATGTATATTAATAAACGACAAAATAAAAAAACCAAAAAAAAAAGAAGTAAATAAAACTTTCAAACACAGAGTTAATGTTTTTAGGTTAATTTTATATAATGGAAATTGACAAAAATATAAATACTATTATCCCAAAAATATATATTTAATTAAAAAAAAAACAAAGCCAAAAACAACCCATATAAACAACTCTATAATTTACTTTCTAAATAATGGCATATTATATTGTAAAGTTAAATTGGATAAGGATATATATAAAAAAGAAACAAATTAAATTATTTTTTAAAATAAAAAAAAAAAAACAAATAAAATTGTATAATTTTAATTTAACTATTTTCTTTCGGTTTATATAACAACAACAATGTTATTTTACAAATTTGTTCATAAATTATTTATTTATTTTTTTTAACAAAGTAAACATCATCCTAGTTGTCTCCATATGCGGTATATCATCTCTGCATCTCTGCCCTCGGCTGCCATGTGGTTTATTAATTGAAAATCAAATCATTATAATTACTTAATAAATGATAAGGTGATACACGACAACAGGTGGTTGTGCGTACAACGGTAACACGATCGGCACGTTCAAAATTGGCTTTAACCGTTTCATAATAACGACCATCACTGCAAAAAAGGAAATAATTGTAATTATTTATTACTTTTTATTCGAAATTCAGAAGAGTGGGCTTTATTTACCTCAACACCATGCATCGCAATTTCAAACATTTAACGCGCAACAAGTCGATGGCCTTTTGACTCTTATCCGAAAAACGTAAATTGTCTGGATCCCATCTGTAATAAAAACCAGATTTCAATTTTTAGTAGATTTGTTATTTTTTGTCGAAATTATAATTAGGGAACAAATTCCAAATTGTTGTAATATTAAAATCCTATCGAGTGACAATATTTTGGAACCAAAACCTAATCTTCAATGGTTCCAATTCTGCTAGTTGTATTTTCCGCAAGGTTTCTCCACGTGGAGCAAATTAACAGAAAATGGACTGCACCAAAAACACCCGTTTTATCACACAATATGATCCCACTAGTTCTATTGCGGCATATGATAACCCTCTTATGTCCGACTAATCACCTCTATCATCAACACATTGCATTCCTCTGTATTCCGTAACTCTCGAGGACATCTTCAAACTGTCGGATGAAAATGAAACGGGCACGCGCCCTCCGTGTCTATCACAGTTACGTCGTTCTTCTAGATTTTGCGAATGACCACAATTTTATATTGTTTCAACCACACAGTTTTCACCGCCTACCCTGGATAGAAGGTAAGAACCTGTATAATAACCAAAAAAGAATTACATTTTCTGTTTCTTTCAAATTTCAGCTACAGTGATATGATTTGACACGCGTGTTACGACTCCCTGTTAGGCGGCGCTAGAGGGGACCTTCCGGCTAGTTAGCGGTCTCTGGGCTATGGTCCTCAACCCGTCCACATCTCTAGCCCATCAGGGCGAACACGAAAATGAAACTTTACTATTCAAACAAACAAACACATTACATTCAAACACAACACCTGCCTTGATAAGAGAGTATAGCTGTTCTACTCTCACATTTTGCCCTCCCAACCATGGTTCCCAAACGTTCCAACGTATCAATATTATTGGAAACCCCGCAAACACACACACACTCACCTCATCACCTTCTTAGAATCCTCTCTAAAAGAACAATTAAAACATATTAGTTTTGGTTACAAAATCAACACATATTACATTTATTCTTATAATATAAGCCTTAAAACTAAAAAACCTGTCTTGGATTCTTCAACCCCAGATCACTCAATATATCAATGAAACAAAAACAAATTCGATATTAAAATTTCCTCTTTGAAACGCTAGAGATTCTTTTTTAAATAACACTTTAAAAACTACTCATCAAGTCCCTATTATAAAGGAGCTCGTTTATAATGGTTGAATAGGCCAATCCGGCGTTAAAACTACATATGACGAATCCCTAGTCTTCCTTCAGAGAATTATATGACCTTTAAACACTTAAAAACAATCTGGAGTCAAATCACAAATCCTTACAAATTCAAATAAAAAATGTTGACAATCACAAAGACAACACAAAATACACTCAAACAATTTGTCTCTTAATAATTATCAATATTAACGAATTTTAAAAATATTTCTTTGGGAATCCCTTTAAGGCTAAAGGCATGGGTTTATTCCCAACTCATTGTAGGTATTAAAATTTATCGCTTTCTTATTTTTCTTTTGATATGCTTCCAGATGACCGCCTATCTTAGCTGAGTAGCACCGTTACCTCTGTTCCGGCCAAAAAATAAAGGAGGATTTAGATTACCATCGGCCACACAATATTTGGTTTATGTTGCTGCTGGCAAAAACAGCTGAAAGGCCACACATCCACACACACAACACAAAAGGCTCGTTGGAGATCCAAAAAAATAATCACTGACCTCCTCTTGGGAATACCGGAGGCCAGTAGCAGATTGGTGTTGGCGTTTTTCTGGGGAACCTACCAAAAATATCTCCCGTTTATACTCATATCAAATCACCTCATTATAAGAAAACTCACGGTAATTTTTTTGATTCCACCGGTTAACAAAAAATATCATTAAATAAAAACGTTTACACATATATTGACTGTCGTTGTCTTTTTTTGGTATTTATTTGGATTTTTCTCAACAGTTTTGTGGTGCACTCAGACCTGTGACGGTTAATCCTAGACTAGAGCTATAATCTTGCTCCTACCCATATTTATAGAGTCTAAATTTTCCTCCATTTTCATAAATTTTCCAATAATTTTTAGGAAAATACATTTAATGGCGAATGTTGCACTAAATGGCTACCCTTTTTCAGGGTTGATAAAAACGTAGTAATAAGTACACTGAACACAGCCTTATTTTTTTATTGATGTGGCTACACTGTTCGTTTCCTCAGTCTCTTCAGTCCGGGTTTCACATGCAGAGCGCGCGCGTCAAATAATTGGTGATTTTTAATTTAAAAAAAAATATTTTTGGCGGAGTCCACCAATCCCTTTTATTGGCCCAAACGAATGGCTGTGTTTCAACCGTTGCATGCGAAACAATTTGAATAGCGCCGCCCTAGAAAAAAGGAGTCATTCATCCCACCCACGCAACAAAACTTCGACCATTGCTGAGTCCATTTTGCAAGGGTCGATGTGCGTGTGATTTTCTTTGGACAACGTGGGGAATTCTCACCCCTGAAGTCTCATCGCCGGGTACAATTCGCACATTCATGGTAAGTCATTTCATGATTCCATGTGGTTCATTGGAAACAGCATCATTAATATTTTTGCTGTTTCACACACACACATACATGAGAAACGGTGCGGTTGCGGTGCGTGGTAACGTCGACGTACAAGTTGCGCTTACGCACCCTCATCGTTTCTTG